GTGTACCTAAAAGGAGTGGGTCAGATCAGTGCCACTTAGTTGAATAGGACACCATCTGCCTTAGAATCGTCTCGGGTGCTTGTGAAGATTACGGATTCTGAATGTGTAAATTTACCTTTTCAGCAAGCTCCTTAAAAAGATTCTTTTCACATGAATGGAAAGTCTCAAACTCCAGGAGGGAACTTTGGCATTTGTGGGCATGTTCTTGAAGAAGCAGAAGGATGACATGATGGAAATGGAGCTTTGGAAAGGGCATAGCCTGGTGGTCTGCAAAATAGATTGGTGGAAGAGAGATCCCAGAGGCAAGGGTGAGCTGCTAGGAATGCAGCGAAGTGTTCAAGGTGAGAGGAACTGAGAGCTTGCTCTGTGGTGGTGGCGCCAGAAGCAGAGCGTCAGCAGTCCACCCAGGAGGCACCAAGGGAAGAAATGAGGAGTCTTGGTGACAGATTGAAATTAGGGGATGATTTGAAACAACTGTGTTTTAGGGACCCTAAAAAAAATGGTAGTTCCACCGACACACATGCTATTTCCATCTAACGAACTCTGCTTCAACTTGATGTGATTGAGGTGTCTGGGAGGCATCCGAGCAAAGACCATATAGGCCCGTGGCAACGTGGGTCCAAGCATGACTGAAGGTCTGGGAGGAAGACAAGATGTGGGAGAGTCAACAGCAGGAGGCAAGAGACTGAGTTCAGGTTTTTAAAAAGTGAGAATCTGTAATACTTTCTGAAAATGTGATGTGATAGGATAGCAGAAGTAAATGAAAACTCTTGATGGCAAACTGTGTTGACAATAAGAGCAAAAACAGACTTCTGACAGGCTGGTTCCTCAAAGAATACTCTTCCTATATGAGAGAGCTGAGAAAGGGGGCTGGTGGGGGTAGTGGCAACAGTTTAAAGGAGGGGGCAGATTAGGGAGCACGGACACTTATCAGGAAATCCTAACATGTATCTACTTTAACAATCTTGCTTACCAAACAGGGTTACATTCATTTTTTAAAGACTTTCTTTCCATTCTTGCCCCTTGGTTATGGCATCATCTGAAACAAGTGTAAGGTATCATATAGAATGGAACCAGATAGCCAAAGCTCTGTTTCATGCTACGGTGAATTATGGCTTCAGAGAAGAAACATTCCTTGAAGTGGGGCGGGTGCAGTGGCTCATGCCTGTAGTCTGAGCACTTTGGGAGGCTAAGGCAGGAGAATCACTTGTGTCCAGGAGTTTGAAGCTTCAGTGAGCTATGATCATGCCACTGCACTCTGGCCTGGGCAGCAGAGTGAGACTCTGTCTCAAAAATCAATCAGTCGATCAATCAATCATATTATGCCTCCATTTCCCCCTTAAGACTGAAGGGGGTGGGGTCTATTATGAAATATGAAGCAAAGGACCAGGATGTACACTAGTGCACAGTACATTAGTGCAGGCTGCTCTAGCATCATAAACTCCATTCGTATCCTAATTACAGTTCTCCATCTCTTTGTAGATATCCATTAGGACATAAATTGCTGTAGGTGCTTAAAGGTTTTTAAATTACCTGAGTACTCCCAATGTTTTCTGGTGTTCATCTGTGTTATAAATACTTGATGATTTTAGATGATAAATCCTTAAGAGTCTCTCTTTTATGAACATGCTTTGGAATACTAAGGCAGGCATAAGAGTCATAAATTCTCTCCTATTTTATAAAGTTATTTGTAGGGAATACAGGAGAGGAAAGAAAGAACAATGGCTTAGGTGTAAGAGCTATTTTTAATTTACATGTTAATCTGAACTGAGATGTGGGCAGCCAGTGTTCAGAGGAATTCCTATCATTGGAGTTTTATGTGTTACATTCCAGCAGGTAAAATGAAGCAGTTGGATGAGATCTCTAGGGTATTTTCCAAACCATAAGCTGGGATATGACCTGATAAGGGATTTTTTTTCCTTCTGAGTTGTGAATATTTTCCTGTGTCAGATTCCTAAAAGTTCCAAAGAGTGTCTTAAGTTCCTACATAATTGTTGAATAATAAGATTTATTTCTGCCCACATTCTAGTTATTTCTGCCTTCTGACTTCATTTAATCGTTAATACATTCCTTTTTTTTTTTTTTTTTGAGACAGAGTCTCGCTCTTTTGCCCGGGCTAGAGTGCCATGGCGTCAGCCTAGCTCACAGCAACCTCAAACTCCTGGGCTCAAGTGATCCTTCTGCCTCAGCCTTCCGAGTAGCTGGGACTACGGGCACACGCCACCATGCCCGGCTAATTTTTTTCTATATATTTTTAGTTGTCCGATTAATTTCTTTCTATTTTTAGTAGAGACGGGGTCTCGCTCTTGCTCAGGCTGGTCTCAAACTCCCGAGCTCAAACAATCCGCCTGCCTCCGGTCAATACATTCTTAAGCTGGTTTGCCAAGTTGCTTAAGACGAATGCTTCATGAGGGCATAAGAGGCCAATTGTACTCGGGTTTTCTGTGAATGCCAAACTGTTCCTGTAGTCCTGCTTGATGTCAAGGCTCATAGAAATATATTGTAGAGGCTTGTATTTCCTTCCGACATAGCAACTGTCGTCGTTGTAGGATGATTTATAAAAAGCACGAGAACCTCTTTCTCAGTGACTCTTAGCTAAATAGGATCTTAAAGTAACTTTTTGGTAGTCTCTACACTCCTAGAAATTGTTCCTCTATCAATGTATCTCCTTTGTCAGTCTTTATCAGTTTTGTCTTATAATAAGCATTTATACAAAAATGGTCATCTTAAGTAATTGTTAAGCTATAAAATATGTAAATTGTATGATTTATTTATATCTCTCAAATGGAGTTTATATGTTATTACCTACAGTAACATTTTAAAATGTCATGTAAACCATTTTTTAAATTATAAAAGCAGTAAATGTTTCATTTTTTAAAAAAATAAAACATTGTCAAAGGTGTGGAGTAAAATATAGGAATTCTACTTCTCCATATTTTAGCCTTCAGTATCACTCTCCAAAAGCAATCACTGTTAACAATGTCTTAAGTTTGTTTGCATACATTTTCTAAGCATGTACAATTTTACATAGATTTATACATACACACTTGTTTGTATACAAATAGTCATAGTTTGCCTACTGTTCTATACATTGCTTTTTTTTTTCCACTTAAAAGACCTGGGCTCTGTCATATCAGCATGTTTCTATCAGCCTCATTCTTTTTAACAACTGCATGACATTTCATTATATGTCTGTGCCATGATTTTTTGATGAGCACTTAAGTAATTTCCAGCTTATATCTGATTGTTTTTACAGATGTTGGTCTATTGTTCCAATTACAAACAATGAACATTCCCAGAAGTGAAATTACTGAGTCAAGGAGCATGCGTTTTAAATTTTGATGAGATAGTTCCAAATTACCTTCCAAAGAGCTTGCACAAATTGACACTTCTACCAATATTGTCTGGAGGGTGTTTCCTCATCCTCATTGATCAGTCTTTCTTGGAGGTTTGAAATTTGGCCATTCTAGTCGATAAAAAGTGTTACTCCTTTTCAACATGCCTTTCTTGAATGTGTGTATTTTTTTTCATAAGTCACTTGTATATTTGTGTGAATTTCCTATTTTGTATCCTTCCCCCCCGCCTCTTTTTTTTCTGTTGGATTTTTTTGTCCCTTGCCATATCCGTTTTTGTGAGAAGAAAGAAATGCTTTTCTGAGAGAGGCTTTCATTTAATAGATAATCCACCACCAGTTCACAAGAAACCATATATGTGTATATTCTACACATGAACACTTGTAGAAACACTTACCTACTTGGAGCTCTAAAAGAAAGCATAAATATGGCCATATAGGCTAAGGAGAGAAAGAAAACAATCTGCCTGGGATAGATATGGGGACTGGCCTCACTCTTTCTGTTGGTTTTCTATTGCTGTATAGAAACTAAAGATTTAATAGATTAGCTAACAGTGTCCTTGCGACAGGAGCCCCGGCACAGCAGGACCAACAGAACTAGGTTTTCTGCTCAAAGTCTCATAAATCTAAAACCAAGATGTTGGCTGGCCGTATTCTCATGTGGAGCTCTGGATCCTCTTCTAAGTTCATGTGGTTGTAGAAGGAGTCAGTTCCTTACTAGAACTGAGTTCCCTGCTTCCTCACTGCCTGTCAGTGGGGGGCCACTTTCCATTCCTAGAGGCTGCCCACATTCCTTGCCACATGGCCCCCTCCATCTCAAAAGTCAGCAAAAGGGAATCTCCTTGTGTTGAATCCTTGTGTTTCAAATCTCTCTGACCTCTGGATCCAGATCTAAGTTCATGTGATTAGGACAGGCCCAACTGGATCACCTATTTTAATGTCAACTGAACAGCAAAATCCCTTCATAGCAGCACATAAATTGGTGTTTGATTGTCTAACATGGAAGAGGTGCATATATACCAGGGGCCAGGAATCTTGGGGACCATCTTAGAATTCTGCCCACCACATCCTCCACCAGCCATCCTTGAGGGAAGTGGACAAAGTTCATATCTTTTGGCCTAGAAAATCACAGTGAAACATCCAATGCCAGAGGAAGAATCTGGTACATATCTAACCCCACGTACAGCAAAATACATCCCTGTGAGTCAAACATCTTGATGTGAGCAATGCAACAGCAGAAAACTGGAGAGAAAATATGGGAAACCACATGTACAACGTAGATAGGGGTCAGGCAGACCTTCCTTGACCAAGGATCCAAACCTGGTATTTTCAACCGAATGTCAGCCCTCTTGGCCCCCCCACACTATATGGCCCACCCAGAGGACAGGTCATTCACTGGTTATGCTAATGGATTTTGAGCCCTCTAACCTTGTTGTTTCTTCTTGATACCAGTGTGACCAGAGTGTGCTTTTGTGAGATGCTGGCCTTGTGTTCAATAGAACAGAATGAACTGACCAGAACCTAAGTAGCTGAGCCACTAAGGGGAACTGTATTGATGAGCATTATTTTAAAAGAATTCTAAAAGAGCACTCTTCCCTCCCTCTGTCTCTTTCTCTCTTTCAACCTCTCACCTGCTGCTGTGATTCAGGAGCATTATACGTGACTTGCTTGAGACCGAAGAGATTTACATAAAAGAAATGAAAAGCATAATTGATGTAAGTAGATGTGGGGAGTGGGTCTCAAGCATAGATTCAAACTGGAGAAGTTTTGTGACACAAAGAGACTCAAAATAGTTGCCATATTTCTCTAGAATTCCCATCAGAGTTTCAGATCTTCTAACATCACAAGTGTCTCTCCAATAGGAATAAGAACACTCTTATGGCTCTTATCTGTGTAGCCAAATAGCTTCCAAAGAATTATGCCAATTCAGACTGATTCCAGCAATGCCCAACTAGGTTCACCATATACTTGCCAACAAAGAATATTATAATGTAAGAGTTTTTTATACTTTAATAAAGGAAGATTATATATTTCTCATTTTTTAAAGGAGCCTTTTTCTTAAGAGTGAATATACATGTTTTCCTTCTTTTCCTAAAGGAATAATTTTCCAAAAAAAGCATATGTATAAAATTATTTATTATAGCATTTTATAATAAAATATCAAAAGCAACCAATATGCCCAATAAAAAGGGAACATTTAATAGAGTATGGTATATATGCTAAATAAACATTATTCAGCTGTTAAAAGATAATTATTTTAGATAGTATGTAGCAACATTGAAAAATGCTCCTGATATAAGATTAACTTTAAAATAATATATATGTAGAATTTATAAGCTTAATCTGAAACATACATGAAAAAGCAATCAAAATTATATTATGTATTGTGATTATAACCATGTACAATGAGTTTTTTTAAAGTCATGAAAGAAATACAATAAAACATAATAGTCATAGCATCAGGTAATAAAATCATGGGTAAGTTTTTTTCCTTTCTTTCACATTGGACTTGTATAACTAATAAACATTTAAAAAATACATTTGTTCTTCCCATAAAATGACATTTTATTATCATTTCCATTAAGCCATCTCCTAAAGATGGACATATGAGGAAAATGATATCAAAAGAAAATATTTGACAAAATAGCTTTCAGGAAACATGTGTGCCATATTCCCCAATGATTTCGCTGAAGTTTTGGTTTCTGGAGTAGCTAATTCAGATGATCTCTTATATATTCTTATCTATAAAACCTACCTTGTTTCTACCTCTGCAGGGATATATCACTCCAATGGATTTTATTTGGCTGAAGCATCTAATTCCAGATGTTCTTCAGAATAACAAAGACTTTCTCTTTGGGAATATTAGAGAAATTTATGAATTTCACAACAGGTATATAATAATTCACATTATCAGGAAAAATGGGAAATAAGAGAAGGGTGGAACTCAGACAGATGGAATTAGGAAATGAAAGTCCTTAAATGTTTGCAGGCTTAAGCAAGTAGTTTGAAGTCAGTGGATTGGGTTGGGGTGGGATGGGGTAAGAAGGATGGGAGAAGCTCCACAGTCTCCCTGAGGAAGAGGGGAAAGGACATCAGAGACATGCACTTGGTGTCAGATATGCATGTTGAATGCTCCTTTGCTTGTTTATTTATTCATGTGTCAGCATCTATTGAGCACCTGTTCTGTGCCAGGCACTGTGTTCAGCATTGGGAATGCTGCAATGATCAAGACACATGTCCACGTAGCATTATCATAGGATGATGCTGGGAACTAGGGTGTTAGAAAATGCTAACTGGTAAAACAAGTTGTACTTTTAACACAGGACTGCTTGAATGTTGAGTTCTAGAGAACTGTAGGGGAAGGGACTTTGGAAATCATCTTCCAACACTTTCATTTTACACATGTGGAGATGGTAACTTGTTGACTCACTTTACTTATGGTGATGACTCCAAGATGACACCTAATTCATGAAGGCGCAAAGAGTGTTTGGAGAATTGAACCACAGTTGTTTCCTAACCCCATCCCTTGTCCAGACAGAAAACTGAAATGGAAACCACTTTCTGCTGCTTTCCCTAGAGAAGTTATTCAGCTTTTTTTATGTCTCAGGTTTCATATTTATGAAACCCTATCTTGGAGGGTTTGGTTGAGGATTAAATGAGATATTAGTTGTGAGGCGCTTAGCCTGGCTTACAGTAAGCTGTCAGTGACATTAGTCATAGCAGCAGCAGTAGCAGTTCATGATACATATTACCGTGTGGTGGGGTGCATCAGTGTGTCCTGTGTGGCTGTGGGTAGTGCTCAAAATTACTAGAACAGCTGACAGCGGTTTCAGGGTAATCATAGTAATGCCTGAGAATACACCTTTTTCTTTCAAATTAGTGTGTAGAAGATAAGAGCAATAAAGCCTAGAGAACAACATTTTTCTAGGCATCTCTTAAAACCTTATGTGATTTTACTGAAAAAAAAATTTTTAACCCTATACATGTAAAAATCAAAACATTATTACCTGTGTACTTTTATTTCCCCAGGAGTTTTCTAAAAGATTTGGAAAAGTGTGCTGAAAACCCTGAGCTTCTGGCACATTGCTTTCTCAAGAGAGTGAGTCTATGCTCCCAATAACTCAAAATAACCATGTGATTAAACTCAGCCCTTAATTTTCTGTGTAAGTGGCAAGGGCAAATGGAAACACCAGTGATCTAAAAACTTGTATCTTCTTCCCTCCCTCAGCTTTATTGAAGTATAATTAACAAATACAAATTGTATATATTCGAAGTGTATAACATGATGATTTGATATACGTATACATTATGAAATGATTACCACAATCAAATTAATTAACACATTCATTACTCTGTGTGTGTGTGTATGTGTGTGTGTGTGTGTGTGATGTGTAAACTAAAAAAGTTGAACTCATAGAAGCAGAGAGTAGAAGGGTGGTTGCCAGGGACTAGGGGCTAGGAGAAATGGGGAGATGTTGATCAAAGAGTACAAACTTGCAGTTATAAGATAAATAGGTTCTGGAGATACAATGCACAGCATGGTGACTATAGTTAATAATACTGTACTGTATATTTGAAATGTGCTAAGACAGTAGATCTTATAATATCTGCCTTTTGAATGAAAAACAGGAGTTGCCCTGCCAACTTGACCTCACATCATCTAGGGTGAGAATGAGTCCCGTTTGAGCTTACACTGATTTGTGGGAGCAACTGCAAGCCTGGCATCCTGCAAAGGCCCATGACGTGGAAGGCTGGCCACCCAGAGTCCCCAAAGCAGATGATCCTCTTCTGAATGACTGAGCTGTTTTAGGACAAGACTCATAAAGTGGGTTTAAAGTCTCATACTAATGTTGTATTAATGCTCTCAAAAAGAGAAGTATTGATGTTAAACTGAAAATCTCAGAAAATATATTTTCTTCGATTTTATCTTTTATAATATAGAGGATGGTTAGAAAATTTCAAATCTATGGCCTCTCTTAGGCTTATGAATTTTTTGAACTTTATGAATTTCTTGAACTTCTTGCCTACAACACCATACCTCTAACCACCTCCCCTCCCCCACCACCCAGACTTCTTCCCTCTGGCCCTGTTTCTCCACCCCTGTTTTGGGCAATAAATAAACTGTTTGGGCCAGTGGTAGCTGGCACAGAGAAACATTCTACCCAACATCATTCCTCAAGTGCTTTCTAGGATGGCCGTGCAGATGATCCCGGTCCCCTCTACTTTTTAAATCCTTCCTATGTCTTCTCTTTTATCTCAACTAGCCCCTCTCATTCTCTTTCTTATTTTTCTTTTTCTGAGCCTAAGACAACAAATCAAACAACTCAAACATTTTTAAACAACGCACATGATGGCTAAGCCTAAGAGCAATACTTATAATTGAAAGCAAACAAACAAAACCCCCAGGTCTCAAGGTATTTGACATAATAAAGAGAGTCTTCAACACTCAGAGCCCTTCGTGGCCCATGTGGCTTTCCATCACACCTCTCCTAGGCTTTTCATCAAGTGCTGGAGATTCAAGATACATTAAAAACTATTTTGGGCCGGGCCTAGCACTCTGGGAGGCCGAGGTGGGCAGATTGTTTGAGCTCAGGAGTTGGAGATCAGCCTGAGCAAGAGCGAGACCCCGTCTCTACTAAAAAAAAAAAAAATAGAAAGAAATTAGCTAGACAACTAAAAATATATATAGAAAAAATTAGCCGGACATGGTGGCGCATGCCTGTAGTCCCAGCTACTCGGGAGGCTGAGGCAGTAGGATCGCTTGAGCCCAGGAGTTTGAGGTTGCTGTGATCTAGGCTGACGCCACGGCACTCTAGCCCAGGCAACAGAGTGAGACTCTCTCAAAAAAAACAAAACAAAACAACAACAACAAAAAAAACCAAAAAACTATTTTGTACTCAATCTGATTTGTTCCCTTTTATTATAACGTTATTAGTGCTTTGTACTGTTTTGCATTTTTGCACTCATCAAACCACTAATGTGAAATCTAGTTTCAGAGTTTAGAACTATCTTATGGTTGCATGTGTCATTATTGCAACAATTATTTAAATTGTTGAATGAGAAAAGGGCCAATTTCCTGTAGGGAAAATGGATATTATCAAATAAAAACTGTTCAAATATGAGGAGATGGTCAGAGAATTGCTGACTAAACATCTTTTCTTGAAAATCTTCTCCTCAAGATTTACAAAGATTTTATAGGCCCTTCCCCCACACACATTGGGAGGAATCTTAGAAATCATTAATCCAGACTGTATAAACACTGATCTAATCCTGTATGATTTATGAGGTTAGAGACAAAATACAAGCAGTAAATTTTTACCAAACATAAAGTTATTCTCTGAGACAAATAGAGTAATTAAAAACCACAATGGGGTGGGGAGCCTGCGGCCTCAAGGCCATATGTGGCCCCTTGAGCAAATCCAAACTTCACAGAACAAATCCCTTTATTAAAAGGATTTGTTCTGTAAAATCTGTATTCAGTCAAAAGGCCACACTCAAGGATCAAGAAGGCCACTTGTGGCCCGAAGGCCACAGGTTATTCTCAATGATCTTTGCAGAATTCCACTAATCTTGGAAATAAATTTTGAAATATTCTTCTGGCCAAGTTTTTTTTTGTTTTGTTTTGACACGGTCTCACTCTGTTGCCCAGGCTGGAGTACAGTGGCCCAATCATAGCTCATTGCAGCCTCAAACTCCTGTGCTCAAGTGATCCTCCCTCCCTGGGCTCCCAAAGCGCTGGGATTACAGGCATGAGCCACTGCACTCAGCCTGGAGAAGGGTTTTAATGAGACTCTATAGCCTGTATCTTCCAGTAAAGTTCTTCCCCAGAGACCATGCTCTATGTAGAATATTTGTCTGTAGTTTACTTTGGGTTCCAATTACTCTGAGATCTCACATCGTAAAATGGAAAGAGCACTGGGATGGGACTCAGGAAATGGGACTTCTCATCTCAATTGAGCCACTTGTTCTCTGCATGACCTCAAGTAAATAACTTAAACCCTTGGAATCTCACTTTCCTCCTCCTTACAACAGGCTTAATGGAACCAATAGGTGAAGTTGTCATGGGAAACAAATAAAATAATGCATACAGAAAGTTTCTACAAAATAAAAAGAGCTTTGACAATAGCTACTCTTTTTTGAGTACTCTGTATATATCAGGCATTTGTCGAGAGGTTTCTATACATTATTTAATCTCACAAAAATCATAGGAGTTGACTACTACTAGGAGATCACTTAACAGATGAGGAGACTGAAGTCTAGAAAGGGTAAGCAACTTACCTTAGGCCATATAGTTTTTAATTGACAAAGCCAAGAGCTACACCTGGACCATCCACCGCTATAGCCCACAATCTTAATCCATAAGCAGTCATGTCTTCTCGTGTGAATATTAATTTTTGGTAGCAGTTTTATAGCCTCTTGATTTATTCTATAAGGAAGATGAGGGGAATTGGGCATTTTTATATGTTGCTGGTTAGTGTATATCCTTTCTCCAAGGAATTTTGGACTGTTAGCCTTTAAAAGAGCAATTTAGGTCAATACTATATTATTGTTAAGCTCTGAATTATTATTCTAGTTCCTTAACTAGTCTGAACAACATTTCTCAAGGGCCTTCTTTCTTCATGTGTGTGTGTGCATGCGTGTGTGTGTGTGTGTGTGTGTTTGTAATTTTTTTTTCCTGGAGGAAATAGCAAAGGACAGAGTTGCTGTAGTTCCTATGCTGAAATGACCACTTACGATCTATCAGGAGAGAAGAGCTACAGAAATGGAAGTCATTCACTACAGCAGCGTATTTGAAAGTAGAATAGACATCATTGAAGTTACAAGGGAAAAAATAACCTATATTAACATAAAAGAAATGAATAATTGTCCTGAGCAGGAAGATAAGGGCACAGAAATCTGCAAGGAGGTGGCCACACAGGCTTCTCCACCAGAGCACATGGGCTCTGCTGTCAGCGCAGCCGCTGTGGCCCTGGCTCCTCGGAAGAAGTGAGTGAAGCTGGCAAGCTGACTCCAGAGGCCTGGGGTGTCCTTTGTATCTGGGACATTGGCAGATGTGTGCCCACTTCTCAAGGTCTTTGACACAACGAGAATGTAGAATGAACAGCACTTTGAATCCTTCTTGATCTCTAGCTCTTAAAGAGTTGCATAACTCTTCCTATCTCAGAGTCTTGTGTGGTAGGTTAAAGGTAACGTCAGGCAGAGTGTGCCACTTTGAGTATTGCCCAAATGGCTTAGATGTGGGTTTGTTATCCACACTGCCACATTTCCCTTCTAGGGTGTTTCCATCTTTCAGTTGTTTCTTAGTGGGACTGGCATCGCAATGGCTGTGATAAGGAGAGGGTGGGGAAAGAGAAGGGAAGAGCCGTCAGCCCCCAGCATTTTTTCTGCCAGTTTTATCACCTACCACAGAACTGTTCTGGGGAGATGTTGTTCCAGACAAAAAGCAGAAGAAGAAGGATAAAGATAAGAAGCAATTCCTGTTCATGAGTTTACTTATGTATTTACCTGCAGCCCTTGCAGATGTTGTCAAAGCTCCGTTCATATCTGTATTTTGTATTTAGAGTTGTTTATAGCCCTCTGTTTACCTCCTCATCACACACCACCCCAACAGAAGGCTATTTTTCATGCATCCCCTATTCCCTACACAGCATTGGAATACTCAGGATTGTTGAATGAATGAATATCCTGTCCACTTACTGAAAAATGCTACCTCATTAATTTGTTCTACATTTTTCCACCTAGAAAGAAGATCTTCAAATATATTTTAAATACCATAAGAATCTGCCCCGAGCTAGGGCAATCTGGCAAGAGTGTCAAGACTGCGCCTACTTTGGGGTAATGTTGAGATTATAAAATCTCCCACAATTTGTTCTCTCTAGAAAATGTTTATGTGCATCACATTTTTAAAGAAATCAAAAGTATGAACTAGGTAGAGGGAATTTGGCATTGGGACTTATGTTTATTAAAAGTCTCCCATAGTTTGAAATTACACATTAGAAATTTCGATGCTGCCCTTGGTCTCTATGGTACAGGCCCGTGAGGAACAGCTGTAGCCTGGTGAGAAAACCATCATCCTCTTCAAGGATGGGTTTTAAAAATGAAACTAAGTAAAAGAAATATCACACTTCAGGGCTCTCTGGAAAGGTATCTCTAAGTCGTCTGTACCCTCCAGGCATAAAACGACCTTGACCCTGCTCCCCTCCACCTTGAAAACGGGCTGCCTCCTTTTCAGAAGGTCTTAAATGCCCCACTGTCTTCTGATGGACTTGCTTTCTAAAAGGAATAAATGGTCCTGCTTCTCTAGTTACCTATAAAAATATTAGCCAAGCCATCCCCTTTCCTCTTTCTCTCATTTCACACACTGCTTCTGGGGGACCGAACACCTCAAGAGCATTCTAGAACTGCTCCGCACTGCCACCCCTCTTGTCCATGAAAAGCCTCTTGTATCTAAATGCCGCCACTTTTGTTCTGTGTGTGTTTGTGTTCTTTGTTTTGCTTTATGTTGTTTCTGTTTGGCTTTTAAAGGTATGCCAACGCCAACTGGATCACAATCTCCCTCTTTTTAAGTATCTTAGAGGACCAAGCCGGAGACTTATAAAATACCAGATGCTGCTCAAGGTAAAGTCAATGAGATGGTGCTTTGCTGTGCTGGGAAAACTGACACCTGCACTATGGTGCTCTTTTCCTTACACGTATAGAGTTGTGACTTGGTCTTCTAAGGCAGAAGATATGTCCATCCTTTGGCTTTTTCTTTCTTCCAAGTCTAAATCAGCCCTTTTCAGTGAGAAGTAAAACCGTTGAGTCATTGAGTTGGAAGGGACCTGGGAGCCTGGTTAGTCCAAGATCTAGCCCAGGGCATGAATTGGTAAGCAGCCTGGTTTAGGAGAGGAAAGCTCCTTGGGAACAATGGGGAGGAAGGGGGCACAGCCACACTGCTGGCAGCTGAGAGGGTGGGGAAGGCAGCCAGAGCCTCTGTCTCAGACACATGAGATATCATCTGCTCCATTTTACAGATGAGGCAAGGAGCTTCAGAGAAGAGGTGTGATTTTTCCCAGAGTTACTGTTTTATGTGCATTAAAACATTGGAAAGAAAGTGGCAAAACTGGAGTGTTCTCTCCTTTTAAACATTGACCCCCACTCTTAGATTTAGGATCTTATCCCGAGAGCAGCATAACAGAATGAATTTTGTTGTATCTGAGCTCCTAAGTGGTTCTCCCTCCCTCTCTCTCTCTCTCTCTCTCTCTCTCTCTGTCTGATCTTTACCCCTCCTTAGCAGGGAGGCATTGCCACCAGCACATCTGCAGGCAAGCACTTCCCAGACCCCGAGCAGGACTCGAGGGTCTATCCAGGCTGGTTTCCCACGCCTGAACTTGAGGGAAGGGTCTGGGCTGCCCCTATAAATTGTCTTTTGAATTAACCTATATAAGACATTTAGGTAGCTCTTGACCAGGGGCCACTGTCTCCTAATTAAAAAAAAAAAAAAAGGAACACCTACTGTTTACTTCTTATTTAAGAAGTAAATCAGACATGCCACAATCAGACATGCCAGCAAAGCTCTGGACTGTGGAGAAACTGAGGCTCAGAGAAGTTAACCACATGGCCCAATATTCTGCCCTCAAAAAAGGTTACTCTTTCAGGCCAGGTGCCGTAGTATGTACCTGTAATCCCAGCTAGTGGGGAGACTGAGGCGGAAGAATCCCTTCAGTCCAGGAGTTCAAAGCCAGCCTGGGTACCATAGCCAGACCCTGTCTCTGGGAAAAAAAAAAGTTCTCTCAGCTTTCCATCAGAAGTTTCAGTTTCAGCCTCAGCCTCACTGTACCAGCTCTACTGTTTACCAGTTATGGGACCTTGACTTCTTGGGCCTTAGTTTTTTCCTGTGTAAAATGAGGTAATGTAATCCCCTCCATTAGACCGTTACCAAGCAGGCGGATAATCCATGTGGTGACCTGGGCACAGCGCAGACCCCAGGAAGCATCATGTGATGTGTAGCTGTCACCTTAGATGTTAAGACTGTCCCATCGGCATGGGAATGAGGCTAATGATCTGCTTCTCTCTGCGAGCAGCATCTGTGAGCATATTTTGATACAGAATTCACTTAGGTTCCTCTGTTCGACCCGTCTTTACCGTCATGCTCACTCTAGAGGTCCTACCTCTGGACCACAGGAGGAGGGAGCAAGACAGGTGTGGTGGTTTTCCCTCTGTCTGCCTGGGCTCGAGTTTTCCCACAGAGGTGACATTTACACAGAGCTAGGTGACATTTACGCAGAAGGCTGTAGAGGCGTAGTATTAGAAATACACTCTGGAGTTAGACACCCTGCGTCTGGATCCCGCCTCTGGCACTTCCAGGCTGCCTGAACTCACGCAAGTTACTTAACCTTTCCTGGCCTCAGATTCCTCACCTGTAGAATTAAGATAATAATAGCAGTTGTCCTGGCATGCTTCTTGGGAGCATGAAATGAGATAATACAGGTTAAAAGTGCTTAGAAGAATTGTGTGAACTACCTTTCACTGAAGAAACAAAAGAGAATCACTATGAAATATTCTGTGGGGAATATTTCATAGCCAAGTTTGCTGGTGCCTGAAAACCAACTCAAGCCATTGGTATGCCGTGTCGAAAGGAACGACTGTGTTCTGTGTAGTGTTCTGTCTATGAGACGGGGAGCTCATTCTGCATCTCCTACACAACAACTGGCTCGAAGGAACGTGCATGTTGGACCCATTGCCTCGTGGTTTGGAAAGGATAGTGTAATCCTGGTGTGGGAAATCCTTTCTAAGTATAAGAGAAAGGGCAAGGAATGCTAGATCACACCATTGAAAACAAAGACACGTGAAACATTGGGGAAAATGTTAGCAAAATATGTGATGCATGGTTAGTATGCTTAATTAATAATGAACTCTTAGAAATTAATAGCAAAAAGATGAACGAAGGACATAGGCAGTTTACAAAAAATAAATAGTAATAGCAAATTTTTTAAAGTTCTACCTCTCTAGTTATCTGAGAAATTCAAATTAAAACAACACTGGGGTAGGATTTCTCTGTTAATTCAATTGGCAAAGATGTTTGATTAAATGGTAATACACCATGTTGGCCCTGGGCCAGTGAGATAGGCTGGCAGGAACACAGTTCCTCTCTAAAGAAATTGGAAATATGCCTCAAAATTCTTTACTTTTACAATTCCTCTTCTAGGAATTTATCCTTAGGAAAAATCCACAAAAGTAATTATTATTACTATAGTAAAAAAAATGTTGAACCTAACCGTTTTATAGTAGGGGACTTTACATAATTCATAACTATAATTCAATTATGGTTTAACTATAAGATGCACTTACATAACACTCTACCATATTTTAGAAAAATACATTGTCATAGAAAAATGTTCCTGATATATTGTTTAATGGGGAAAAGCAGGCTACAAAATCACGTATGCAATATGATTCTTTGTTTGTGGAAAGAACTCTGTGCCAAATATATCATTCAGTCTTTTTCTCTTACAAATTTACACACATTCTCAGTCAGCTTGACATTGGCTGCAAGTTGTTTGCAAGTAGATTTTGTTGGCTATCTCCTTTTTGATTTTCTGTAAGGCTTTTGGGTCAATGCAGGGTCTGCTGGATTTTGAGTCTCCTGAAGATTTGAAGATAGACCCGGGTGACCTAGAAGGAGGCTTGGCTAAGGTACTGTATATTAAATATTACATTTTATATGACTAACTGTTAATGGTGTTTGCCTATGGGTGGGAGGATTTATAGCAATTTTATTTTCCTTGTTTATAATCTTTTTTGTCTAAGTTTTCTAAAATAGTATGTGTCTTATAATTCATAGTCAGGAAAAAACAAAAAATTAAAGGTAATTTTGAAGTAGGGATTTGTAGCCCAATGAGAAGTGATAATATATTTTCTTCCTTCCACATAAAAAAATTTTAATGGGAATTCAAAATTAAGTGAATATGTAAAATGCACACATAAAAGACTAGAAGGAAGTAAATACAATGAAATATCTGCTATGGTTTTCCTGAATGATAGGATTATGTATGATTTATATTTTTTTCATAGTACTTCTTGGCATATCTAACTTTTATACATTACGCCTTGTTCTCCTCTGAGAGAGAGAAAGAGAAAGAGAGAGAGAGTGAGAGTGAGAATTCTAGGAGAGACTGCCAAGATTCTCTTGGAAGAAGATTCTCTCGTGGCGTGGTGGCCACGCCAAGTTAGGAAGAAATTTGTGGTTTAGTGATGCGGTCTCTTTTCAATTTCCTATAAAATGTTCTGGTTTTAACAAGAAAAACTTGAGACATGTGTCTCAAGCAGCAGTCATTTGCATGCTGTCTCTGCTCAGGATGAAGCAGCTCAGGGCACAGGTAATGATTTCATAGCCTGAAGCAAGGGGAGCTAGCTCTAGTTAGAGGGGTTTAATAATGTTCGTAAGGATTTTTCTGAGCCCTACATTACACGCCATAAAACTGGCTGCCTGGTTTGTTTGTAAGAGGAGGGTTAGTGGGAAGGAAAGGGGTAGGAGCAGATATTACTCCTACATATCTAAAAGGAAATTGAGTTTTAAGTGTTGGCTAAGGAGGAATACGCCTGATATAAGAACTTTCGATCCCTTATTGATGACATTAAAATAAACGCAGATGAGAGTCTGCTGTCTTTCACCAGGAACTGAAGCTTATTTACTATGAGCGAGAAGCTAACAACCCTTGGCACATTGTTCACTGGAGGCAGCATGGTCTGGTCCATTCATCAGCTCTGTCAGTCAGCTCTCTGATCCAAAGATGCTCATACCCAGTGCTTCGGCAGAGATTAAGAAAATACCCAGCCCTTTGACATCATGCTGTAGAGGACAAAAAGAGGTGGGGCTAGATAGGGAGCAGCAAAGAGCTATCTGTTCTTCGTTGTAGAAATCGAAGTGTAAAAAAAAAAATACATGGAATAAACCAGAATCTTTTTGTTTGTATTTATCAGGTGCCAGATAAATATGCCATGTAGGTAGTAGGGGAATAAAATACAGAAACCCAAGCAAAAGCGTTTTGAACTGAAACAATCACCCCTCTCGCATCCTAAGTGTCACTGTGTTATTAATGGGAACGTTGGTCTCTTTCAGAGCATGTTGGCTTATCTCCTTGTCATCTTTAATTGTGGTGCGATGTGAGGAGGGCTGGAGGCCAGTAAAGGGAGGAAGGACAGAGCTACCGGAAATTCAATGTGGGAAATGCAACCTTTATGGCTTTTACACATGCATCATTATCGCCTCTCTACATGGCAGCCATGTAAACTCTATAGTGGTTTCCAGAAGTTGGGGTGAGGGGCAATGAGTCATATTAGTCAAAGGGTACAAAGCTTCAATTATGCAAGATGAATAAATCCTAGTGACATACTGTACAGCATAGTGCTATGATTAACAGAACTTCATTGCACATGTAAAAATTTGCTAAAAGGGTACCTCTTATGTTAAGTGTTCTTATCATCATCATAATCATCATGAACATCATGATTGTCATCATAAATAAAGAGGGCTGGAGGCAATGTTTGTTTCCATGTGGAGAGTTTCCATGTGGAGACTCTCCATGTAAACTCTGTAGGAGTTTACAAATGTCCTCCTCTGGTATGGTTTTAAGTATAATTTTACCCATACGAATAAGACTTTCACATTAAATGTAGGAATAAGATACTCAGATGGTATTTTTCAGCAAGCCCCAGGGAGTAGGGAGATAAATGGGGGAGAAGCCTATTTAAAGGAGCTCAGTTTTTCATGCTTTAAAAAAGCTAAGTTCTTTATGTTTCTTATATAGCAGGAATATGTCAATGGTTTTATGAACTTCATTCATCATGAATACAATGTACAGAAGGTTTGGTAGATGATTTTGCTTGTCTGTATATCACATATTAAACAGCAAATATCTTCAGCCACGGTTCTTTAGGAGCAGGGAGATAGATTCATGTGCCCACCTTCTCAGTCAGTGCTGGCTGGATCCACAGCTCCTTATCTCTGCCCTGTTTTTCTTCTCCATCTGGTAGATGGCATGCTTTTGATTTCCAACATGGCATTTGTCTGCCACAGGATGGGCCAAAGAGGACCAAGGATTCAGCATTCTCAGCCAAACTACAGCAAGCTTTGGCGGTGATAGAGGATTTGATCAAGTCCTGTGAGCTGGCCATAGACCTAGCAGCGGTCACTGGATGTCCGGTATGTTCCATAGCAAGTGTTGGGACATTTCACACAAAAGGCAGAAACAGTATTACAAAGGTAGGAGATGCTGTGGCAAAGTTAGAGAAATAATCTGTGGTAAAGGGATGTGGCCCTGAGGAAGGCCACGGAATGAGCCAGCAAACCTGTGCTACCGGATTCCAAGCAGCCCCCAGCATTTTCAGGAATCTTGGGTTATGTTCCTCAGGGTCCTAAATGTTGGGACTGACCCACAGACTGGACAAACCAGAAACTCAGGGGCCAGAACATATATGGGCAGGTTAAAGTGCTGCAGAAGTCATTTATTTTCTAGTTCATGGCACTATTAAATATTTAAAGATTTGAGAGATTTTCCTTCTTGCCTCCTCTAGAGTTTCTCCGTGAAAAGTAGTTTAAAAATGTGTCCAAGATGAGAGTTGAGCTCCATTTTACTTCGCAGGCCCCAGTACAAGTATACAGTACGCATCCCTTAATTCAAATGGTTGAAAGAAAAGCCAAGAGAGTGCATTTCCAGACCGACGCTGGGGAGCTGAGCTCTCTCAGCTCTAGCATTAGTGTTAATTCCAAACAGGCCAGTCCCAGGCATTCCAGGCAAACCGTCCTCTACAAATGCATGATCTCTTTGGGAATGAGACATAGTTAATATTCGACTCTTTTTCACTTTGCAGGTGTCTAGATTTTGACTCAGGTGTATTTGTTTTTTATCACTGTCATAATAAATTACCACAAGCTCGGCAGCTTAGCATGGCATAAATTTGTTATCTTGCAGTTCTCGGGTCAGAAGTTCAACACAGTCTCATGCTAAGATCAAGGTGTCTGCCTTCCTTTTTGGAGACTTTAGGAGCAAATCTGTTTCCTTGAGTTTTCCAGCTTAAAAGGGCCACTCACATTCCTTGGTTCCTGGCCTCCTACTCCAGCTTCAAAGCCAACAACAGTGGGTTGAGTTCTTCTTACATCACATTACTCTGACCTTCTCTTGCGCTTCTCTGCCACTTTTAAGACCCTTGTGGTTACATTGGGTACATCCAGATAATCCAAAATAATCTCCCCTTCTTGGAGTCAACTGATTAATAATATTAATTTCCTCTGAAATCTTAATTCCCCTTTGCCATGTAACCTGACATATTCTCAGATTCTGGGGATTAGGATGTTGACATCTTTGGGAAGCCATTATTCTGCCAACCACACAGGGTGCAAGCATTTTAAGAATTACATTTTAGACAGAGACTTTCCTTCTCTTTGTTTCCTTTTCATTTTTACCTGGTTCTGAACATATTGTTTATTAAGATCTTGGTAGAGGAAATGACCTTTCTTTTCTTTCCTTGTCATAAATCAAACCATGCAAATTACTTAGGGACTAAAAAATGTGATCTCATTACTTCCCTTCCTGGTATTTCTCTGGCCAGCATCTTGGAAAGTTAGCCCTACTGGGTTTTCTGTGATCCTGGGCAGGATGCCGTTACTGTCCTCTGGGACTCCAAGGTGCTCTCTGCTGATGACTCATGTGTGATTTCAGAGAGTATTCATGAACTACAGGGCAGAGTTAGGGTGTGTGGCGGGGGATCATTTCCTTAGCAATAATTTTTCTTCTTCAGCTAAGGAAAGTCAAGAGAAAAATTTTTTTAAATCAATTTGGGATATCTTTCTGTTCTTTTCTTTTTATCTTGAATCATGTGTCAGCTACCCCATCAAATGTCCATTTCCTTGATTCAATTCGATATTCTAGAAATTATATGCAGAGCAGGAAACTGAATGTAAATAACACAGGAGGAGGAGGTTGTGAGGAGAGAATGATTAAAACATGAGGAAATAGCAATCTAATTTCATTCCACCCAGCTTAAGTGCAAATAAGATGAACCAGCTTATAGAATATTAAATGTTTTACACTAAATGCAAAGGAGCTTTTTTGCCCGTGTGTCTTCAGAATTGTGCCTTTGACGATGCTCTGTAGTTTCTTCTCTGCTAAGACTTTAACTTGCTTTTATGTCTAATACATTAGCTAATTTCTCCTGACAGTTTTGTATAATCCTATTGAATTGTGAAGGAGTAGGCACTGGAATTTTCAACTTTCTGCTTTGAGAGCTGATCTATGGAAAGAATAATTAACCTAAGATCACGTGGGTGTCAGCTTAGACTATTTCTGGATCACTCCCTATCCAGGGTACTAGCCAGGTACTATTTGGTTCTGATTAGAGTTGACTAACAACTCAACTACTTCTAACTCAAATCTAATGATTCCAAGATCTTTGCCTCAGTTTTGTAGAACTTTATCACTGGTGTTTTTAATCCCATGCCTTATGCATGGATGAATCCAGAGCTTAACCTCTTAGTTTCTCTACTTGAAATTCATTATTAACCTGGTTTTATAAAGGAAAGAAATTGAATGTGAATGGATCAATTCATAATTAAAACAACCAGAAAAAAATTCCCTCCTGATACTTACATTCTTTCCCTCTTGTGCATATTCAATTAGTCCTTGGTTTAATTTAATTACAGAAGTTTAAACAGATTTTTTGAACAAATTTGTTTTGTGGAATGCTGGGATGTAATTTACTTCTTTCTGTTTGCAAAGAAAAAGAAAAAATTTTTCCTCTATTTGAATCCAATGCATAATAGAAATGCATTTAAATACTGACTTGGGCCATGGCTCATGCCTATAATCCTAGCTCTTTGGGAGGCCAAGGCAGGAGGATCACTTGAGGTCTGAGGTTGGGTATGTGAGGCTGCAGTGAGCTATGATGACATCATGGTACTCTACCCTGGGTAACAGAGTAAGACCCTACCTCCAAAAAAAAAAAAAAACTGACTTGCCAGGAACAAGTTCCAAAGTTGAATAATAAAGGTTGAATGAAACATTTTTCAGCTGGTCTGAAGGTAGTGAGTTATCTCACTTGATTGTTCACAGTCAGTTACAGATTGAACTCCTTGTTCTACTACTTTCCCCCCTCCTCACTACTGTACTTGACTAGTCTTAAAAAAAAAAAAAAACATTTTTCTTCTCTGGAACAAATACAGTAAAGATGTATTATTATTGCAAGTTCATTGTGGGCTAGGCCAGGTATTTTATTGCCATTTCAGTTCCCTTTTACTTTACCATAGTGTTGGCCACAGAGATAAGGCTGAGTAAATAATCCTAGTAACACAGTGAAATTGCCTTGTACATCTTCCCACCCTCATGATATCTGCGTCAAAGGGTGGTTGTCCGGAGTAAGCAAGGGTTAAATCATAGGTAAGGCCCCAAGCACCATGCCCGGTGCCTGGTAGATGCTGAATAAATGGTCCTAGTCCTGAGTTATGTGGGGACCTGCGTAGGCTGGAAAGGAAGGAACTCTTTTGCTTCTGGCTGTTGTAATCAGGGGCTCCCACAGCTTCTGCTTTTCATTTCTGGACCAGGATTTTTGTTGATTCATTTATCCAGATGTTTCCTGCTACTTTGTGCAAGAAGTATGTGACTGTCACATTAGCTCCTACTGCCAGGAATTGAAACTTGGGCACCCAAAAGAGTTCTCTTGCTGAGGCTGGCTTCCCTAGATTCACTCTCCAGCCAGATTCTTCATTTGGCCAGTGTAGGCACATTTAAAATTCTTATACCAGAGCTCTTACCTACAAAAATGCCCATGCATGAAAATGGTAGCATTTATTAGTTTATTTTGTAATCGCTTCCCATACGGAGGAGGCCATCTGACTTATCACTTGCTTATTTGTTTGAGGTAGTCTCTATGTTCCATCTCCGAGCTCACAACCATCAGGTTCTTCAACATACCATGTGACAAAACCACACTTCTTTGTCACTAGTGGAAAATGGTTGAGAGTGTGTTAGTTTCCTAGGGCTGCTGTAACAAAGTACCATAAACTGGGTGACTTAAAACAACATAAATCTATTCTCTCACAGTGTTGAAACCTAGACACCCAAAATCAAGGTGTCGACAGGACCATGCTCTCTCTGAATGCTCCAGGAAAGAATCCCTTCTTGCCTCTTCCCACTTTCTGGTGGTGCCAGCAATTGTTGGAGTTCTTTGGCTGACAACCATATCAATCCAATTTCTTCTTCTGTCTTCACATGACTGTCTTCCCTCCATGTGTGTCTCTGTGTTTGTTTTCTCTTTTTATAAGGACAGCAGTCATTGGATTAGGACCCACCCTAATCCAGTGTGACCTCTTTTAACTAATTACATCTACAAAGATCCTCTTTCCAATAAGGTCACACTGTGAAGTTCCAGTAGACATGAGTTTTGAGGGGGGACACTAGTCAATGCAGTTCCATACCCTCTACCCCCAGGCACCACTAAATGCCAATAAATAAATAAATACTTACTCAGGAACAAGTATTTGAATGAGATTATGTACTTGGTGTCTGGCCTTGGGATCAACTACAGTCTGGTTGGAAAGAAAAGATACATATGGTTGAAAAGATAGCCAAGGGTCATCTTTGCCTACTCCAGGGGATCTCCCCATAGCTTCCCTTTGGAGGTGGAGTGGCTCCACACAGCATTCGCCCTGCTGACAGTGACGTGTGTGTGCCTACCCTTCATTAGCACTGTACAGGGCACGTGCTTGCCCACCGGAGGTTGTACCTTGAGCATTGAGATGTCCAATCCTGTCATGAGCATGGTCCTGAGAACATTTACGCAAGATGACCCAGAGGATATGCAGCTATATATTTTAGCCAGACTCAAAAGATCCGGCAATTCTCTGCAGTGACCTCCAGTAATGATGGATTTACTGGAAAAGCTGACCCACAGAGCCTCAGGAAGAGTGAGAACAATGGCAGAGCCAGGCTCACAGAGATGAGATTGAACAAGTCCAGGATCTACAGCAGCTCCGAGGCCCTGGCTTGGGGAGCGAGTCGGGATTCTTACCTGTGTGCCCTGCCTATCTGTGCCAGGCACACCCACCTGCCTGCTCTCCCCTGCTACCACCTGCTGACTGGTTTCTTCCCTCCACCAGTGTCTTTTCCTCTTCCTCATAGTTTCTGGTGACTCAGTTTCTTCACAGCTCTGTTTCTTTCTCAATTATTTCACCACCTACTTTCTTGTAAAGCGTCCCACAGCTGCAACTCTTGCTGGGCACTGCCCGCTCCTCAGTTGTCTTCAGTTCAGAGAGGGATCACACTGGCCACTCAGCACATCTTTTTTCTACTGGGGCCCTGTGGCCAGTTGCTGGCCTCTCTCTGGGTTCATATCCTGTGGTCAATTGCTTATCAAGATGCAAACGGTCGTTGCCTTGGGCAAGATGAGAAGTAAAGTTCAGAGGTGATGAAAAGCAAGCCTTGCTGCCCAAGGTTGCATCTTCTGCAGGGCTGTGGTCAGGGTGGTTTCCTCTACAGCAGCCCATGGCCTTGACAGACACCTTAGCCAACATCACCCATCCTCAGCAGGTGATTAGAGAGTGCATACGTGTACTTGCTCCCCTCCCCCATCCTCCTGGCCTCTTTTAGAATTGCTGCTTACAGCTCTGCTATGAAGTGATGCCTCCGCATTGACCAAATGTGTTCTTCTGAGCAGCTTTACCTAAAATGTGTTCCTCTATCTGTTGTAGATGTGGTTGAGGATGTTGCTCAGTGACCCTTTCTCCTGCGAGAAAAACCTTTCTTTTGTCTTATTAATAGAAATAGCTGTACTTTTCCTGAACACCTGGTTTGAGTATGTCTTCAGACATAATGAATCCTATAAGTCACCCGTGTTTCCTTCTGTATTGCCTACTAGGAGGTCAGAGCCAAGTCTGCAGCAAGTTTATATGGCAGTAATGTATGGATTTTACATACAGTCTTTTCCTCTTATTTTTTATCTTTTTTTAAAGATACATGTTTTCGATATGTTGCCCCAGCTGGTCTTGAACTCCTGGCCTCAAGCAATCCTCCTGTCCAGCCTCCCAAGCAGCTAGAAGTACAGGCAGGAGCCACCATGACAGCTTCTTTATTTTTTAATCACCCTAATTTCCTCAGTTATTTTCTGTCTGCCTTTACTGTATATATTTTTGTAAGATGTGTCAAATGTTTGAAATGAGGTGGAGTATAAAATTTTTTTTAAATATTATTAGAAACTACAGGTTATCCAAAATGCTTGGGACTAGAAGTGTTTGGGATTTTTTTGGATTTTGGAATATTTGCATATACATAAAATATGTTGGGAATAGGACCCAATTCTGTACATGAAATTCATTTGTATTTCCTATATACATTATATGCATCAACTGAAGGTAATTTTATACAATATTTTTAATAGTTTTGTGCATGGAACAAAGTTTTGACTGCAACACAACATACAAGGTCAGGTGTGGGATCTTCTACTTGTGGCATCATATTGCACTCAAAAAGATTAGGATTTTGGAATATTTCATATTTTGGATTTTTAGATTAGGGATGTTCAAACTGTACTGATGATAGTTGTTCGTGCAGCAAGTATTAAGCCCCTACTTTTACTAGTTGCCTTGAATAAAACATATTTTCTGCACTATTTATGTCTATTTCGAGTACAAATTGAATGGGTTTAAAAGAGAAAGAAATCACTGAGGGCTGGAGTGGTTACATTTGAGTGGGTCCTTGAAGGACGAGTGAAAAACTTCTCAAGGGTCCTCATGGACCTGTCCACCCATCTGTCTTGGAACATGCCAGGCAGAGCCTGTGTAATGTAGAGCAGGAGCATCATGCTTTTAGGAAATAAGGCCTTATGGCTGGGGGCTCTTTACTCCTCAGTGAGAATTTTATTCACCACAGTTTATACATGTATGTTTCCCAAAGCATAAAAAGAAAATTAGCATAGAAAATAATGCCACAAATGCCATAGAAATGACTTGAAGTTTTTATTTTAAAATTTCAGAAGTATAGTCAATTCTTTTTATTTTTGTTTTATTTTTATTTTTTTGAGACAGAGTCTCACTCTGTTGCCCGGGCTAGAGTGCCATGGCGTCATCCTAGCTCACAGCAACCCCAAACTCCTGGGCTCAAGTGATCCTTCTGCCTCAGCCTCCCGAGTAGCTGGGACTACAGGCATGTGCCACCATGCCCGGCTAATTTTTTCTATGTATTT